CCTACTGCTTCAACCCTCTACATTTATCCCCCTCCTTTCCTTTATCTTTAGTATTTTAGTCACCAACCATCCCTCCAATACCAGCAGTTCATCTGTGCCTCCCTCACTCACTTCCAACTCTCTATTCATTCTAAGCAAGCTATGACCCCTCCACAGGCATCTCGGAGGTCTTCCTCCCAGTAACCCCCACCTGAGACATCTCATTTTAACAGTGGTCACCCGAAGGCACCGACTCCCTTAGTGATCCCACCGCCTTCCAGCTTCAGGAACACCCCAAGAGGCCACAAACATCCCACGCTTGGGTTTCCAGCCTCCTTCTGCACCCGACAACAGTGTGAAAAAAGGCAAGCACAAATCAATCACTAATGAAACAGAATTAAAACAAAATTAATCATGTCTGCCTGCTCATTTGCTGGGCAACCAGCTTCATTTGTGACTTTTTTTTTTTTTTTTAAACATTTAAAATTTTGATGGAAAAGACATTCTTGCATGGTCTGTTTCTCTTGAAATTAGGCTACTTCCAAAAAGATCTGGGATTTGCTGCTCTAGGAAATTGCCCATAAGAAAAGAAAAATTCTCAAAGTTTTCATCTTTTTCCTGCAATGGGAAACATATCACTATTTTGACAGCAAACTAGTTACTTCAACTGCCTGAATATAATCCTACACACATGTGGTTCAGCACTCTTTGGAAAGTTAGGATCTGACAACACCAATCCACTCCCAAAATTTAACCCAGGCTCAGACATCTCACTCAAAATAGTAAGACACCATCACTTGTTAAGAAATATGTTTCTATACAGAAACAGCTATGTTACAAGTTTAAACAACAAGAGACTTCTAGTTGTCCGCTCCCAGTTAAAAAAATGGCATGTGCTTTCTTCAGTTCAGCCAGGCTTGTTACAAAAGAGACAGTTTTTACTACATGGGAGTAACAGACTGTCAAAATAAAGGAAAATATTTGATATCCATTTAACTATAGAATTGATTACATATAATACAAATATATTTTTCTAGTCAAGTATACCATTCAGCAGGTACTAACTTTTCTTGCCAGCCAAGAAAAAGTGAAGCTGCCTCTAAAATTTCCAAGAAAAATAGGATAAAAAGTACACTGCATTGCTAAAGGTCAAATCAAAGATCCCTAAAAGCTTTCTTTTACATCATCTTTCTTTATTTGCCAGAAAAAAAAAAACAAACGCAAACTAGTTACATTGCTCACCTCCCAATTTCCTTTTTATATCCAACGTTTGCAAATAGTTTGGAAACAAACGTGGAATTCCTCACCAAAGTCTCTAGAGAGCCTGTGATAACCAGTTACATTATGCTATCCAGGACTTTTCATAGTTCTGCTTCTAAAGTAAATAAATACAGACAATTCAAAGCCATTACAAATACTTTAGGTAAAATATTTTTAGACCTCTGATCACTTGTTCTGAGAAACATGTCAGATATCATTTTCTGTGTACCAGAGTCAGCCATCAGATTATACTTGTTTACAACTCCAAAATTATGCGATATGTACAAGCCAGCATTTTGCACTCCAGACTCACGTAGGCCAAAACAGGTACCAACAGCCTCTGCTGCCAGGGCCACGGCCGCATGAGATGTTGCCATTACAGCAGGACGTGGCCAGCACAGCTTGCTGCAGCTCCCAGACTCTATGCGGTCTTGGCACCAGCGCAAGCAGCAGGGCAGGTGGAGCAATGGGCATCTCTCGAATACCATGGGGAGCTGCCAACCACCTGCCTTTTCCAACATCCCTAAAAAGATGCTTAGTCTACCCAGTCTTCTCATGTCCCTACATATTCCCTCTACCAAAGGGCAAAGCAATGATGAAAGCTGATGCTCTCCAGAAGTGAGCTAACAGAGTACAATTTCCTACTGCTGCCAGAGAGGAAAAGGTTTTTTTTCTATCATTTTTCGTGGAATACTCTAGGTATCAGTAGCAGCTGGAAGAACTACATTTTAACCCTATTATTCTAGGAGCAACATCCAGAGGAGAGAGGGCACCAGGGTCCTTGAAAGGGACCCGCAGCCTTATCCTTCCCTGACACTTCCACCTCAGTGATAATAAATGCACTTCCAAGTCCACATCGTATCTATACCTCTGTGTCAGAAGTGCAAGTTCACTGCAGCTGCACAAGCCCATCATGTGATCCTTCCCTTTTTTGTTCTTGCAAACACTTTCATTCTTTGCTAGGCAACTGAAATACACAGGTCTTTAAATATTCAGAGGTCTTCTATTTAAACAGCAAGTATTGAAAACGCTAGAAACCCCTGCAGTCAAGGCTTCCATTTACTCTGTAAGACAGCACGTAAACAGCCAGCACAAGCTGCAATGTGCATTCCGAGCAGCAAAAAATCAATCGTTAAACAGCAAAGTTACAACTTGCTGTTTGACCACACAGTTTCAAGAACAGCTAAGTTTACTGCCATATCTACCAAAAGCGGCAATCAGCAGTATGAGATACTTCTGGGAAAAACTGAGACCTCCTAAGGTTTAAAACAAACAACCCACCCCACATAAATAAGTACATTTAAATGCCTTTAAATGTGTGAGTGCAACAGGCACCTATCACTTCCTCAACAACAATTCTGATTTTCACAAGAAAAAATAATTATAAAACATGTAAGATTAAGTGCTATGAGCACGAACATAAGGAGTCGCATGACCAATCTTGTAGTGCTCTTCTGCCCTGATACAAGTCTTGCTAGCAGAGAAGATGAAGTGTTTGCTTTAGAGCACCAGACAGACAAGCTACTTTGGTTTCTAAATGCTGTTTTTGTTGCAGGACAGTAATCGATCAGTGAACATGTGATAACAAACGATGTGATCTCAGGTTGTCAAACTGCCTCGCAGCAAAGTGGATTTAAACTTCCTCTTCACATGAGTAGACCAGCCTAGGCCTATATAAAAGTTTAGTTTATAAGTTTACTCTTAGCTATAGATACACACTTAGAAATGACTATCCCGTCTTTCTTGGGAATAGCCTAGGAAGCTATCCTGTCTTTTTCAAAAAAAAAAAAAAAGAAAGAAAGAAAAAAAAATTACCCTTACCCCACAAGAAACTCAAAAAGAATTTTTCCCTCTTTGCCATTTCACCGACCACAGCTATCAGCTACCCTTCTCTGTTTATCCCCTTTCATCATGTAAATTCTATCAAACTCATTCACATCCTTTTCGTTTTAAAGCAGCCCAGTGAAGAGCCCAAAAGGGATGCAGAATTACTCCCTTTGTGGATGTGGTAGACCAAGCGGAGCTGTACTGTGCTCAGCTTGGTAGATACTCCCAGTATTCTGAAGATTGCTTCCACACAAAACTATTCCATTTCCAAAAGCATCTCTCCCCACGCCATCCTCCAAAAAAAGGAAACTGTTAGCACGCAACTCTTTGCAGTGTCTGAGTAAATGTCTAGTATAGTTTTGATCCTTGGCTATTCCCCCCTATGAAAGTACTCAAGAAGTTGCCATTTAACATTTGGCTCTAACAACCTTGCAAGGATGCTGCGGATAAAGTTTCCCTCCAGTGCCCAATATAGATGTTTATCAAAAGGTAATCTTAAACAGGGTCAAATTTTTAATTATGGTCTTACAGTGGCTAGTATGTCAGATGCACGGTTAAATGAACAGAGAATTAATTTTGATTATTTTCTCTTTACAGGATTGAGTTCTATTCATAAAGTCCCAAAACCAAGAAAAAATTTCATTCAGCCATCTATTTTGGTTAAAGTCATCTATTTGGTGCATGGTTCATTCAAGAGCTCAGCTGATACAGTATTAAGCAAGAACAAGGTTTCTCCCCCCGCCCCTTACCACCTTGTTCAGCCTTCTATGCCATAATTCACAGTGGGAGAGAAAGGAGGCCCCACGAAGCAGCTGCATCTTTCTTAATCTCTCAGCTCCATCGTATCTGGGTAGCCTAATTGTGCCAGCCATCAGAACAATTAACTCTCAGTTGGAATAATTAGAGCTCTTGGATAAAGACACGCTGGGAATTACAACTGGAAGCACTCCAGGGTCTTCTCAAGAGGGAAAATTAGGTCCAAACAGGCCCATTAAATCTGTCCCTTTCTAGACAGTAGCTGACTCTTGCAGAGCTGCTGGTCTGTCTCTGTACCTTGCTCCCCAGCTTGCCTATGGGAGTCCAGTTTAGGTTAAGTTCTCTGTTCAAACCTATTTACTTTTTTCGAACTGTTTGTATTGGGAAGACAAATGTAGAGTTCATGCCTGCACAGGACGTCATCTGAAGTTCAACATAATTACAAGCAGTAGACCCAGTGGGACTGTTCAGAGCTACTGAATCATCTCTCTGCTACACCATGCAGCACTCAGCTCTGGAAATATATTTGCAAAGATGCTTGAATTCATGCAGGACTAACAGGGTTCAGCTGTTCTTGGCTCTGTGATACAGCAAAGCAGGCCTACTGGGTCCAAGCTAGTCTGAGGAACAGAAAACCTGGGAACCTGATAGCCCAGATTCTTAGGGATTCACAACTGCCTCTAAGGATCCTGGAAAGATAACTGTGGAAAGAAAGCCTACTGGCCTGAATTCAAGTATGCTTACACACACCATCTTAGAGTTTCACTACTATGGGAAATTTTAATAAGAGCCACAAATCAAAGAAGGTTGAAAACCACAGATTTAAAACATATCCTCAAGTAAACAAAGAGTTTTGCTGTTAAATATATCCAAGAAGTTTCTCAAGATTTTTTTTCCACAGCCTGTTCACTTTCTTTGGATACAGATTTCTCGCCACTCTGCTTGCCAAAATAGAAAATTCTCAGAACAGAAAATATTTTGATACAATCCATACCATCATGATGGGACACAATGCATACAGTTTAGTTGGGGGCAGTAACTACAGGGATACAAGTTACCCACAGCGGACAGACCCCCCTCTAGCACACTTACTTCACAACAGGAAGACAAAGAAAATAAATAATCCAACACGAGAAAAATTGAAAGATAGCATACTGAAAAAATTTGGTAACACTTACGGTCAAGTCCATTGATGTATCTCATTGTAATTTCACAGTGCCCCCAAACTGCACTGACTATGGGGTAAAGTTTTTTCCCTTTTAGTCCCCTGAAGGCCACTCCAAGATACTGTCCATCCACCATGAAGCTGAGCGTCCCTTCATCCATATCCAAAACTACCAGTAAGGAGTCTGGGAGTACAAAAGATTCATCTGGTTCCAAAAAGACAGGATACGTGACCCCAGGTTGGTTTTTACAATTGTGATAAAGTTTGTTGCGTCCCAGATCCCAGCCCCACGATTCACTATTGCTACCAACCAACGACGTGTATCCCACAGAGTGTAACGGTGCTTCGGCTGTTGAGACACCCACCACGGCATGAGTTCCTCGTTGCCTTGTGGGCCAGTGAATCTGCCAGACGTGTAGGCCTCTCGTGTAGCCAACTTTGCCCCGGATGCAATCTGTGCTTTGGGCAACTGGGTGTCTATGAAAAGTTAGTTTATCATCTTCCTTTACAAATATATTTAAAGATCGATCTTCATTGTTCCAGGCATGTTTATATTGGACCTCCAGCTTGGCAGGGGGCATATCCAATAACATGTCCAGTCGTGCAGGCTTGCAAAAATCTGGGCCTCTCAGCTCTCGTTTAACAGGTCTATAAGGGGGCTCCCTCACATCCACAGACTTTATGCTCCCTGAGATTTTCTGGCCCATTGCTTGGCTGCAGATTTACGAAGCAGAAAGAAAAGTTGACTTTGGCCCAGCGTTACCTCATGAAAGCACTTTTACACTGAGCCAGTGACTTGACAAGCTGACTGGATTTACTTCTCCTGTTTGGAGCTTTTTAGCAGCAAAGTTTTCAGAGAAAAAATGCTCCTGAAAGAAAGCAGAAAGTTTCCAATTAATTTAAGAAAGCCAATAGAAAACCCACAGTATATTTTAAAAGAACTTCTTGTGATCCCTAGTCGTTATTTTAAACGCCAAAAAACAGACAATTCACCACTTTTTGTTCAGTATCCTACAACACTAACCAGACTGCCAGCAGGATACTCTGAGCCCACCAGCATTCAGAGTACAGACAGTAATTTCCTCCAATTCATAATAGGATACAGACATTCTCCACCTTCTGCCCTTCCACCCGTTTTGTCTAGCCAGGTCCAAAATGGTCTTGAAAAAAGACATATGTTATTTGCCAGGAACGGGGATAAACTTAATGTTCAGCTGTAACTCCACTTTCGCTTACTCTTCAGTTTCATTTTCTTAGAAATATGCACTATGTCAGAACATTCTTTCATTTCTAGCTGTTCCCTCACCTGGACCCTTGCAACCCAGGCTTCAGCGTCCCCATTCTAATGTTATTAGAGCAAACAGATCCAACAGCAAAGGTCTGCAAAATGTAACTGCTTATTTTTAACATACCCTGTCCTTAAAAGGAAAAACAAAAATTCATTAAGCTTTAGTTTTTATGAAGGAGCTAAAAAAAAGGAGAAGGAATAAGAGGCATTGAAGGACAAACGAAGAATGGCAATTTCAGTTCTTTGGCAGACCCTTCTAATGGGGAACTCCTGCCAGAGCGTACATTCTTCAGACTACTGGACAGCAGGCTAATAATCCCATTCTCTATATTGCAGTATTAAGCTTGTAAGAAGGACTGGAACACAGTAACAGCAAGACACATTAAGGCGAATACGTAATTTTTAAGCGTATTATTCCTGAGCTTCTATGGATGAACATGGCAATTTAGCTGCAAGAGCTCAGAAGCCACCAGGAAGGCTGTGTATCAAAGACCCTCACAGCCTGGAAAAGTTATATTCATTCACTGTTTAAAGGTCAGCTAGAATGCAAAGGAAAGCAACAAACCTCTAGTAGAATTAAAGGAAAAAAAATGAAGACAAAGTCCTATAAACTTAAGTAGGTGATTGGCAGGGGATCAAATAAAGTATCCGCACCAGCAGACATATTTCTGTCTCCTAGCAGAAGCAGAGCCAAGTCCCGGAATGCTCCCATAGCTGAGACGACCCCATTCTGATTATTTACTGACAGAGTTTTGAAGTGTTTTAAAAAGTAGCAAAACCCACCAGACTCTCAAACGCTTGAAGAGACTATGTGACAGTTGTTTTTCATAAAGCTCCAAATAACTGGCAGGGACATAAATGCCTTGCAAAAAATGTCTTGCAAGACTTCACTTGGTGAGCCACAGACCTGGGGTCTTCTTTATGATAAGCTTCTACCCTGGATATACTGTCACGCTGCAAAAAATCACTTCTGAAAGAAGATAAGTAAGAAGCAGGTAATGCCAATGGAAGGAGAAAATAAAAGGCTATGAGAAGAACATCTGTAGAATTTACAGTCTAACAAGCCATGTTTTAGAAGTAAAGGAATTCTTTTTATTATGTACAATGGTCAATACCATATAAATTTTTTCCACAGGTATTAAGTAATCTGTTACTGAAAATTTGTGTACACGCTTCAGTGTTGACCGATGTCTGCCAGGCACCTTGTCACATAGAGACAGCATACAAATACAGTCTTTAAGCTTAACTTGTACAGCATTTAAAATTTCTGTAAACTTGTGCTAATTTGTAAGCATGTAGTTAGTTTTCTCAAGAGTTAAGCTGCAGTGCAAAGAAAAGCATGCTGAAATACAGCCTCATTTCTTCCTAGCCTACTACAATAGGATATAGAAAACACGAAGCTGGCTTTACATCCATAATCCTTCATTAATTTGAAAGACACATGAATGTAGCAAAGTATGAAAAGTTCCCCTGTTTCCCAGAGAAATCTCAATTCTGACCACTTTGAAATGGGGTGCAAGAAAAAACAGAGAATAAATGAAACAGTGTTTGTGTTATATTGAAGCTTTCACTACAAGAAAAGTTAAAAAAAAAAAACAAACCCATACGATGGTTAAGTCACAGTATAAAGATGCTATTTTCTGGTAGAAAGGCAGAGTGCATGCCCAGGCATGTTCATGTGTATATGCATGTGTAAAATAACTTTTTTGCACCTAATTTTAATCTTTAAAGTGAAATTTAAACAGGAGCCTCAAAACCCTCATATCATGCTTGCAGAAGGATTCAGAATGACTCACAGGAATTCCTTCTCACAGAAGGAGTACCACAGCTTGAAAATTACCCTATATGACATTATCTTCAAAAAGCCTCCCTATCTTCCTTCCAAACCATATAACAAGAACTTGAAAGTTTACACAGTAGTTATATCTTACTTGATGCTTGCCATTTCTACTATTGCAGAAGCGCTTGCAACTGAAATGCTAATGCTATTTCAAAAGTATGATGGCAGATCTGGCCCACTGAAGCATGCACAATCCTTTAATCCACACTAATAAACTTAGGGAGATGAAATACTGACACTAAAATACACAGAAGGAGCAACAGGAGATGAATACCATCAGATAAACAATTTTTCCTAGGATATCACATAACTGATTAGGTAGTTCCTTTTTTAAAAGGCACTTGGTTACATGAACTTGAGAGAATGCAAACTGGGAAAACATCAGACGTTCAAAGGGAGCCCAGCGAATTCTGTATGAGATTTAGTTTTACATGCCTCTGAAAACTTCCTCTTTAAAGCACAAGACCATTGCCACATTGCTGTCAGTGTGCGGAGGGTAGATGGCTGGGGAACTCCTCAGTGCATCCTCATGTGTCACTTCTGGAGCACTTAAGCAGCTAAACTTGGCACAGAGGTTTACCTGGCAAACTACCAAGAGATTATAAGCAAAGTGACTTACTTGGCAAACCATAGACAAACGTTCTTTCTAATGCTCCCCAAATTGTAACGTAAACAAATTGCTAATAAATAGAGCCGTAATTTAGAAAAGTAAAATGCATCATTATAAGCACCTTGGTACAAGCATGGCCGGATCTTCACTCTGGGAGGCACTTAGTAAGTACTTCGGTTTGAACTGTATCTTACAGTGTTAGGTCAGAGAGAGAAAGCCCTTGTAATCTCATGCCTATGTATGGACATTTCCAAACAATTCAATGATATACTGCAGCATTTTACCAAAAAACTTTGTATGGACATAGGACTGAACAATAATGCAAAATCTTATAATTACTCGTGCATTAAAAATCATAAAACAGTTTCTAATTAGTGGTACAATTCAAAAGGTCCCTTTCACCAAATAATTTCTCCTACCAACTGTAACATGCTACTTTTAGTTCTGTATGTCTAGATAGCTGTTCTTCAGCTTTTACCAGAAAGCTAAATATAGCCATATTTATTTCATTCAAATATCAGTGAACAAAAAGTATTCAACATTTAATCATTTATACTACAGCAGTACCTGTATAATCTCTTACTAGCTGCGATCTAACAGCTCTGATCGGTGGTCATTTAGCTTAGCTCACATGAAAACTTCTTTATAGGAGGAGGTACTGAAGGGTGCAATGCACGCCTTCTACTTGCAACACATGCAATCTTAATGCCCGCTCCTGAGGGAGCAACTCATGCAGACAGTCCTCTTGCCAGCTCACAACAGTAGCTTTCGTTGCTTGGAGGACCAACTTGTCTCAAAATAAAGATCATTACTCCCTTGTCTTGTCTGCATGCTGTCCACTCACACCAAACAGACAGCAGAGGCCACCTCCAAAGAGGAGCAACCAGGTGCTGCAGCAGAAACGATGCCTTGCCCTGTTGCCCCATCGGGAGCCGCTGTCAGAGGAGCGCAGTTCTCTGGGAGGACGCTGGGCTGCTACCTCCATCAACACACATCACCTCCCTGCTACCAAGGGCAACATCACACCTCCAACACAGAAGACAAGGAAACCTCTCTCATGTGTACCTCATTACTGTCCAGATCACCAGGCAGCTCCCCCTACACAAGCAGTACACACCAGGGCCGGTCAAGAAAGCCAAGCACGTTACTCATAATAGGAAAGGTGGTTTCTATCAATTTATCTGATAAAGGTACTCCAAATTGGCTTCCTGTCTGCAGCACTGGAAAGACTAAATCACATAGGATTAAGAAAAGCCGTGGATGGAGCTTAAAAGGACTGAAGAAGATTATTCCTTTCAAATTAGTTTTACTTGATCCATTTACAGAAATATTTGGTTATAAAACCTTCTCACCATCTCCTGAACTTACAGGAAGGAACTCATCAAAGCATAGCACGTGACTTTTTATCATCTTATGCTACGTAGTGAAACAGTTCATTACCTGTATCTTCTTGCAGTTAAAGTCATTAACAAGTATCAGGAACATCCTACATGGATGCATGAATGCTCTAAAGATTAAAGGAACTATGCATCTTCACTGTATAACTTTGCTTTAAATGTTTTCCCATGGTTTTGTTTCTCCAGTAATTTCAAACCACCACAGCATTTAGGAAATTAGAAGATATTTCAGTACAGCTTATAATGGAGAAGTCATGAATATTAAGCTGTGTAGAGACTACAACTGAAACAGCAAATTGAATCAACAAATCAGTTATTCCTGGGATAAAGCTTATCTGGGGGTGGGGAGAAGTAGTGCTTTCATAGGAAGAGAAAAAGGAGTATGTCAGTACAGTCCTTTAGCAACTGGAAGCCTAAGGTTGAGAAGGCTGCTAGTTTCTGTAACCTAAGTTATTTCCGTCACATAGTTTCACATTCAGGCCACACTTTGTCAGGATATGATGATTGTATTAGAATACTGTACAAGAACAAGCCAAATCCAAAGAGGAAAAGCATGTCAGCTTCACTTAGCAGTGTCCCCATGCAGACTGCCAAAATATATAGGGAAGTTATTCACAATAAAAACAGAAATTATTAAAAAAAAGAAGGATTACCAAGATACCACTTCATTGTAATTAAATAGGGTGCTTTTTCTTTTTTTTAAAAACTCATTATATTGGCACCA